GTACCTGTTTGCTGCCTGGGCTTTTGTTAGGGGTCTCACCCCCTCTTTGGGTGAGCCAGGGGAAGAGATCCTCTCGGCTTTGGGGAGTTTCAGTTATCCTTGGAGCCTGCAGGCCAGTGTGATTGCGGCACAATGCCTTCTGAATGTCTGCCTGATTTCGATTTTGGCCATGCAGCATTTCTCTAACAGTAGCAGCGCCTGGAAACCTGCCCCGAGGTCAGATAATAGTGACTGGCAAGGGGTGTAGGAAAAGATGGGCAAAGGCGTGAGTCAGTGGGCACCTCCAATGCTTTGGAATTTCACTCCTGAACAAATGCAGAGCCCTGAAAAGCTGATGGAGTGCTTAGAAAGGGTGTGTTACCAAGCTGGCAAAACCCAGGAGACACAAATCGCTGCAATGTGTTGGGGACTTGCCCATGCGTACCGTGTCCTCCTTAATACCACCCGCTGCCCTCAAGGGGGAGAAAAGGCTACAGAACCTGAGAGTGAAGTACCTGGTACAGTATCTGGGCCAGGGGGGACAGTCAGAGCCAGTCTCAGTTGCCTCCACCAGCACACAGACTGAGCCAGAGAGCCAGCCAGTGACAGTGTCAGTCGCCCCCATACAGAAAACAAAATATACCAGAAAGTCAGTTCACAAAGTGGGGGATGGGGATGAGCCAGGCCCAGCACGGGAACAGGAGAAAGGGCCAGTGGTGATCATCCGATCTCTATCCCTGACTGAGTTGTGAGATATGCGGAGAGATTTCGGCCACCTGGGAGGTGAGCAGATTTGCATCTGGCTGCTTCAATGGTGGGACAATGGAGCCAGTGCTTTTGAGATGGAGGGGAGAGAGGCCAAGCAGCTGGGATCTTTGGCCAAGGATGCTGGCATTGATAGGGAGATAGGGAAACAGGCTCAAACCTTCAGCCTTTGGAAGCGACTCCTGCTCAGTGTAAGGGTAAAACCGTCTGGGCTGCTGAAGTATGGCAGGACATTGCAGCCTGTGTGGAAAACCTCACTGTGAAGGTGCACCATGTGGATGCCCATGTACCCAAGAGTCGGGCCACTGATGAACATCGACACAACCAGCAGGCATACCAAACTGCTCAGATTAGAGTGGCTCAGGTGGACTTGGACTGGCAGCGCAAAGGTGAACTGTTCATAGCTTGGTGGGCCCACGAGACCTCGGGCCACCAAGGTAGGGATGCAACATACAGGTGGGCTTGAGATCGAGGGGTAGACCTTACTATTGACACCATTGCAGAGATCATCCATGGATGTGAGACGTGTGCTACAATCAAACATGCCAAGAGGGTGAAGCCCCAGTGAAATGGAGAGCGATGGCTGAAATATAGATATGGAGAGGCCTGGCAGATCGACTACATCACACTGCCACAGACCCGCCACAGGAAGCGCCACGTGCTCACAATGGTGGAAGTAACCACAGGGTGGCTGGAAGCTTACCCAGCGCCCCACGCCACCGCCCGGAACACCATCCTGGGCCTTGAAACCCAAGTCCTGTGGCACCCCAGAGAGAATTGAGTCAGACAACGGGACCCACTTCCAAAACAACCTCATAAATGCCTGGGCAGAAGAACATGGCATCGAGTGGGTCTACCATATCCCCTACCACGCACCAGCCTCTGAGAAGATCGAGCACTACAATGGCCTGTTAAAAACCACATTGAAAGCACTGGGAGGTGGGACCTTCAAAGACTGGGACATGCATCTAGCAAAGGCCACCTGGCTTGTCAACACAAGAGGATCTGCCAGTTGAGCTGGCCTGGCTCAGTCGAAACCTCCACGTGCTGTAGATGGGGATAAAGTCCCTGTGGTGCGCATGAGGAATATATTGGGAAAAATGGTCTGGTTTAGTCCTGTGCCAGGCAAAAGTAAAGGCAAACCCATCCACGGGATTGCTTTTGCCAAGGACCTGGGTGTACCTGGTGGGTGATGCTGGACAATGGAGAGGTCCGATGTGTACCACAGGGGGACTTGATTCTGGGTGAGAACATGCCGTGAATGATGCTGTGCCTTTGTAAATTGTTATTTTGTTATTGTTAACTGCTAAATGGCAGCTGGACATGACACAGATGGTATAGAATAAAGGGGTGGATTATGTCCTGGTTCAGCTAGGATAGGGTTAAGAGAGAGAGGGGGAAGGGATCTCCAGCCGGGTTATTCATACTGCTGACGTCAGGTCCAGGCACGGGAGCATGGGAACTTTTTCCTTTGTGGCTTTGGTGACGGGGAGCATGCGAGCGAGTTGTCTGTAACCATTGCAGTATTTCTCTGTATATCTTCTGTCTTGTTTACTGTTATTACTGTTTCTTGTTGTTATCATTGCTACTGTTGTTGTTCAGATTGCTTATCACACTGTTGTATTAAATTTCTTCTTATTTTAACCCGGGGTTTGTGCCTCACTTCCAGCCTGACCGGCTGAGGGTGGGGGAGGGACAACGGCAACGTTGTCTCCGGTCCCAGCAGGGCTTAAACCACCACAAGGCTATTTTCACAAGTGTTTTTTGCCTTCTTTTTTTATTACAGTATATGACTATTTCCTTTCTAAATGAAAATATATACCATTTTAAATTGTAATATAGGACTTACAAGGTATCCTTGGCCTTTGTGTAGCATAAAATTATTATCGTGAATCAAATCACTGAATGCAGCAAGGTTAATTTAAAAAGTATCCAAGTATGTATTCCAGACATAGACCACAGATTTACTGCTGGATCTGTGACGTGAGGCATCTTCTGCCGTTATTCCTGTAACTGGGAAGAGAAAAAGAATTGCTGCTGGAGTGCACATTTAAGCTGGATAGTATTCAATTTAACTGAAAATGCAACACATGCCATTTGCCTGCATCCCTTCTATACCTCTGCAGGCTGTTTAGCAGTCCAGTTCTAACCTGATCTTCCAGCATTTTACAGTACTGGGAAAGAAAGCAAAAAAGCAGGAAAATCGCCTAGAAACTGGTTCCCTCCTTAGCCTAAATCCACAGTCTCAAGAGAGACTGATGTTATGTATCATATTATGAAGCAGAAGAAGGAAGATCTTTTATAGTTAGGGTACCAAGTTGAGAACAGAAGCACAGGTTCAAACTTTGATGCTTTTACAGTTTTCCCCTGTTACCCCTGGAAAAGACCCAAATCTGAGCTTGCTAAGGCCAGTGATGCTAAAGTCAACTTTGACTTAGGTCTTTATACACTCTGTGCCTTGGCATCTGCAAGGCAGGACTGATGGTAAATCTTTCTGCTGGGCATATGATACAAAAAGAGAGTCTAGTGATAGAGGTCAGATTTTTAAGACCAGCTAATTGATCTAACTTTTGCATTTTGGCCAATGGAAACTTATGAAATTTGATAAGTGATTTATTTTTGAACACATTACACCCAAAGAATGGCCATGAAAAGAGACTAATTTGAATTAAATACATTAGATAAATCCCTGAATTGCAGGGTTTGCAGCAGAATTACATGTTAATAAAGATGGAGGTCACTCATTTTCCTAGTTAATTATTACTTGACAGCAATAAAAACTGATGAAAGCAATACTGTGTATAACTGTTTAAAGAAAGGGAAGAGGAAAGTGTTTCTGAGGATTATGCCAGCATGCAAATAATGATCCACATCATTCCGCTAATCTCCGTTGTTTCCATCATTCTTACCTGGTGCGGAACTAGCTGCAATGATGTAAGAACTATGGCTAACATTGTCATATGGGATGGCAGTTTTTATGCCACATCTTTTTTTCTCCTTTTGGAGAGTATTGGTGTTTGGTGAGGGGATAGCCTTTGGCTTTCAGAGTCATCTCCAGTGTCAGCCGGTGACTTACCTGTCAGCGCTGTCACTGCAGCACAGTGCATTGCCGGTTGCTGTAGGCACTGCTGCGGTCCAGCATTGGCATGTATGTTTTAGCCACAATGCAGTAGCTGACTCCGGGCCTCAAATCTTCTATTGTAATAACCTTGTCTTTTCCTTCATACACCAGGACTCTGTGTTGCTTCAGACAGAGTGGAGTAAAAACAGCTAGTCAAGCACATTGCCCTAGCAAGTGTGTCTGTGAGTAAAGTCCAATAAGAAGAGGATGTAGAGCAGCATGTGGACTTGCACAAATCAATAACATTAATAATTAATTTATGATTTTTAAAGAAAATTCTCCTCCCAAATTCCCCTTTTGTCCCAGTTTTTTAATCTAGGTCTTAGAGTATGAAATACTAAGTTGATGAGAAAGAATGAAGGGAAGAATTAGAACTGAATTAAATCACATTCAATTCCTGAAAAATAAGCCTACTTTGTTTTCAAGTACTTAAACAGTCATCAATGGTCTCACAAGCCCAGAAGACTATTTCAACTGTAATCCAAGAATGGTGTGCCCATAACTTTCCTGGCTTTTCAATGGTAAAAGCTTCATATTTGAATATGGACTTACCTCGTCTAGCAAATTGTTAATTATGAAGACTTGATATAGCAGATCATAATAATTCGTCATTGGTATCTTGCTGCCCCTCTTCCTTTTATAAGGAGAACGTGGAGCCTGGAGCTTTAGCATTATGGATTTGTTGCTATGAACCACAGTTATTGTTGGAGGTCCTATCATAGCTAAGGAAAAAAACCCAAAACTATGAACACAATTTTAGTTTATTAATAATGTTTCAGAGAACGCAATTTGAATCCATTTAACAATTTAATATTCTTGTTACCAGCAATATATTATGCTGTATTTACTGTTAAGGTACCACTTTATAAAGCTTTACTTCTTGGTGGTTATTGCTTGGGACATTTTGGGAGGGACATTTCCTGTGTTTGTAAATCTATCTTTGAGTGAAACTTTCTGAAATCTCTGAGAGCTGAATGTTGCTGACTGCAGGCTGGTCAATCAAAATGCTTTGGTTCTTTGCCCTGTTTCCCCCCCCGCCACCTCCTATATTTATCTATGTGCTTGGACTGCATAAAACAGCTATTTGAACCATTTCAGTTATGACAAGGATGCAGCTTCAATCATTACTTTCATTACATTTTTGCAATCTGCTTGGTTAAACACAGCTAAGGGTTCAAGCTAGTGCCTGTATACCTGTGTGTGCAGCCCCAGAGACGTGGGGAGACAGGACAGCAGCTGCCCCACGCATCTCTCTGGGAGGAGGAGGTGGCACAGGGTGAGATGGGCTGTTGCTGCTGCAAGGTACTGCTTTATGTCAAAGCTTGTGGTTTCATCTGTACAAGGAGGCTAGAGGTAGTTTGCACTTCAGGGCTGTGAAAAGACCTGCACTGACCTTCACAGTTCAATTTTGTATTGACCAGTGAGAGGAAACTGGTTAACTCACAGGGAACTTACTGATAGGTACACGGGTGCTGTTCAGTGTTTTAACAGTCCTCCAGTTTCTAACATACTATGGCATTATAATGACTGTACTAACTAAAAGCTATGTGCATGTCCTTTCTAAAGACACTGCAGTCAGAAAAACACATAAATGAGAGAAGAATGGTGGCCACACAGCTCTCAGTTCTCTTCTCACTTTTCCTCCCAAGCAGAGATCATTTGCTTGTTTTCCACCTTGTGTCCAGTCTTTCCATCAGCTTCAAAACAGGCTGAAAATAATTTGTGTAGTTCCACATCTTGAGGAAGAGGTTGAGCTAAAGGAAGCCAGGCACTTCTGTTCCCCTAATAATAGATAAGTGGCTACTTATCCATAATTGGTTGGCATCCAAGTGTGGAGAAAATTGTTTTATCGCAACCCTTCACCTGAAAGCTATTGACTTGCAACTTCTTTTAGTACAGCTTTGTAGCTAGAAAAGGATTACTCACGTTTACAAATTGTGAACAGAAATGATGTATTCCATGCCGCAGGAAATTCAATTCCTTTCTCAGAGATACCCATATGTTTGCACTTACTTTCTCGCCAGGGAGTGAATCTGCAGCTGAGGCTCCAGTCGGAATAGACACCAGCTGATGCGGCTTTCACTCTGCCGTAGTAAGGCTCTTGGATGTCAAAGGTCTCATTCGTTAGGTCACAGACATGGTTTTGAATCCCCCAGCAGTCATCTTTGTTTTGCCATGTACTCTGCCCATACCTACAGAGAAAAAGGAGGAAGGATGTAAGCTTTAGCTATTATCAACTGTATCCATACAGGTTTTTAGCTGTCTGTTTTAACTGGGCAAGTGTTACACTGACAAGTGCTCTGCCATGGAAATCAACTCCCTTCAATCCGGTGTCAGGGGAGATCGATTTCATGGGCATTTGGGAGTTACAGGTTTCTGCCTTTTCTGAAAGAAACGTAAAGCAGAGACATGGGTCACCAGCCCTGCAGGAAGCTGGCACATACTTGCCCCTTGAGAGAAACAGGCCAGCTTTGGCCTAGCCAGTATGTTACTGATGGGCAGAATGCCGGGTTCCACCGCTAATTTCTCAAAGGCAATAGTGATTTCAGATGCTCACCAGGTGTGCCAGGGATGGGAGTGTAGCCCCTGTGAGGACCAGCCTTTAGCACAGCCTCATGTTTGCCATGCAAGGCACCCTGTGGCACTGCCATGGGCAAGGTGGGCCACCAAAAATACCTTAATGTCCTATTGCAGTAGTACCTCGCCTAGCTAGACCTGCTTCAGGCAGGCAGTTGGACCCACTGGCTTCCAGAGGTCCCCTGCAAACTACATTTTTCTGCAACTCCATGGTGCAATGAAGGCACAGATTATATAGCTGGAGGTGCTTGTTCCCTGCCTGCCTTGGGCTATTCAGCTCCACCTTGAGGAATATTGGTAAGTGCAGCAACAGCTGAGAGCTGGCAGCTGAGGTGGACATGGATTTTCCCCAGGCAGGGAGAGAGCATCCCATGTCACCTGAGAAATCCCTTCGATGTGCCAAGCAGGGACGGCCCCCAGCCTGGCGGGAAGCTGGAGTTCCCCAGTACTTACACTTTATACTGCACAAAGTAGACTGTGTCTCTTGCCTCTCTGGCCCTCCCAGGTTGCCAATGTAAAGTGCTGTTGAAGTTTAATGAACGAAACTCTACCTTCTGCGGCTTAATCAAATCTTGTAGGTCTCGGTTTTCCAAAACTAAAATTGCTGAAAATAATAAGGAATGATAACATGTTTGTCACAGACGTGCTCCTCCATATTGAAATCAGGGGGTATTGCTACAGCTCATTTGGTTTCATGACTAGCAGACTGCAGGGAAATTAAATCTCCTGGATCTCATGTTCAAAACTTTCCAAGTTAGTGACCAGATGAAGCAGTTGTAGTATCAGGAAAATGAACACTTTTATGTAGTTTGGTTTTGATTTTTATTTTTTTTTTTTAATTTTCATTTTCCTTAGTGAGTTTATTGCTGTGGAAGATGCCTGATAGACATGCCAGGAAACAAAGCCTTCGGATCAATTCACACAGCCTGCAGTAAGCAGCCCCATCAGTAGTTAAAGTCAAGTGCTCTTTCCTCCACATCTCAGCTTTAACATGCAGCCATTATAGCTGTTTTAACTGTTGCAGTGTTTACCAGATCTTGCCTAATATAAAATAACCTGAGGTTCACTGCTTTTCCAGTCTGCACTACTGGAAAAAGCTGCCTGACAATATTCAAGATAGTCTGTCTTCAAACTGTGACAGTTATTGATGACAGAATCAGTTAACAACCTCTCTGAAGCATTTAGCAATCCTAACATTTTTCTGGGTTTCATGATGACTGCAGCTTTATCCCTGGCATATCACAGAATCACAAAGGACTTGTACTAGTTGAACTGAAACTGGTAATATAGCCATGGATGAATTTAATGGGGAACATGCTCATTTTATCTGGATTTCAGAAACTAGAAGGACAAAAGACTAATTTGGAAGAACTGGACTTTTGAAACCCACCAAAAGATCCAGAGGTTTCTTGACTCATACAGACATTCAATAACAGACCCAGCACACCCCTCCCCACATTAGAAAAGAGCAGAAAGCCTGTACTTACTAGTTACCTCACCCTGAAGCAGGTGCATCAGTAAGCAGAGGGAGAAAAGCATGATCCCCTTCATGCTTAGGAGAGCAGCTCCATGACTGAACATTTCTCTTCCTCTTGGGCATGTCTTATGAGGAAGTAATCTTCAAACACTCCAGAGTTCCCCTTAATTTCAGTGGTTTCCAAAATCCCCGGGTTGGCTTTGGTTTAATTTAGCTGAAAAACATATGAGTTGCTCTAAATCAAACATAAGCCATTGTTCTTACTTGGCAGTTGTGGTCACTCTGAAGTTTGGAACTAATTATGAAGAAAACCAGCATGAAAAAGACCTTTTATTTTTAGGCACTAATTCCCAAATGATGTCTGGCAATATTGCTTTATCTCATAAATTTATCACACAAGCTTCCTTGCTTGCCATCTAAGATCTATCTATCTATCTATCTATCTATCTATCTATCTATCTATCTATCTATTTTTCAGCTTATTAGTTGCTTGGAGCTGAAGAACACAAGAAATTTTGCTGCAAACACATAAAATACCCATATGATTTCATCTGATTTGGTGGCCTGTCTTTGGGTTAAACACAAGCGGACAGTTTGCATGTTTGTTCATGGCAGGACATCATCTGAGGATATATCCTCAGAGGAACAAGGACCCACAAAATCACTGCCAGCTGTGCTGCTGGGCTGCGCATCCACGCCATGCTGGCTGCTGGAGAGATGCTGGGAGGCAGGGGCAGCCTCAGAACTGCCAGCCTCCTGGCAGGGCACAGGGAGGCAAGCCCACCCCATCGGGTCAAAGTGCTACTCTGTTGGACTTTCAGACTGCCAGGAGTCACTGGTTCGGGTGTGCCACTAAGCTGTCTGCACAGATAGTGGTGTTTGTCCTCTGAATCCTGCCTTTCCAATATGTGCATTCCTGTGAGCCTGACCCCAGGGCTGGGGATGACAGGGGTCCCTGGTGAAAGTGATCTCGCTTTGTGTTTGTAAATGCTTTAATGCCATGTGCGCACCTGCCCAGTGGTAGCCAGACTTCAGGGTTCTGTGACCTGTGGAAAGGTCAGATGAGTCAGTCGTTCATGGTGAGCATGGTGCCACTGATGACAAACTGTGGTGCCGCTGGAGGCAGCTGGGAGCCTGCTGGCCCTCCTGCTCAGCCTTGGCCCTCACTCTTCCCTTCCCAGAAGCTCCCCAGTGCTGACATCCACATGTACTTCGCTGCTCGTGCACCAGCACACCTGGGCAAATATCAGGATGCATTCTCCATTTGCTAGCTCATGTTGACAAGCAAGAAGAGAAAACCCAAGTTTTGCATGACATAGCCCAGCACTACGTAATGATGCACACCAAAGAAATAATGGATGTGAAGACTACCTGCCTGCAGAAACAAAAATTTGCCTAACAATCATCTTTACTTTTGGAAAAGGTGGAAGCAAAACACCTGTTAGATCAAAAAAGGGCAAGTTCTGCTTCAAATGAAAGTATTTTTTTGTTTAAAGGCAACCAGTTTTACTCAGCAGACAGAAGCTGGCCTCAGTTGGATTTATGGGCACAGACTCTCAGTTCAGCTGATCACTTCTACCTCATTATCCAAACATCAAACCCACACCAGATCTATTAAAACACTAGATGTATAGCTTTGAATAATTAACTAGTTAACCCAATTAAGGGAATTAAAAAACTGAGAAGAAATGAAGAAGAAAAAAACAATCCCAAAATGGAGGTAGATGGCAGAAAGTTTACCCTGCCATCACCAGCTGGGAATTTTTTATCTATCTATTTCCCAAACACATTCTCAAAATCCAATGACCTTTAAGTAGTTCCCCACACCAAATGCAATTAGTATTTCATCATGTTATATGAGCTCAAGTGCAGGAATAGGGAACTTTTATAAACAAATCACCAGACTGAAATGTCATCAAAGTTTAGTCACAGGTTGTGTATTTGCTTACTTGAATTGTACCAACACACCTTCCCGTACCCCATGTATCAGCCCATAGCCAGGAGCTGAAGCCTGGAACTTTGTCAAAATTGCTTTTGATGGCAGTTCCTCCTATGAATGCAGAGATGAGAGTCAGCCCACCTGGCACAGGCAGGGCTTTGCTCAGAAAAGACTGCTCTGAGGTGTGGTGAAACCAGGAAAGAAATGCCTATCCCATGGAAAAACTCAGGGTTTCCTGCACACTGCACTCTGCTAGCGCTTCATCTGCAATTGGGCTTGGCACCCTGAAGTAATTGGTATCTCTTCACATAAATTTTGTGATTATTGAAACAGCTGCTGGTAATCCCCACTATATTAGCATCCATAATATTGTCCTACTCATCAACTTCAGTCATGTTTGTTCAGTGTTTTGTGTGACAAAAATAGCTACAGTCAAACAAATACCAGCTACACACACACATATACAGATATGTGCATACATACATGTGTTGAGTTTCATAGAATATATGTATAGTACATTTTAAAATGTACAAAATTGAAAAACACTATAGGATGACATGCACTGCAATGCTACTTAAAATATGAATGAGAACTTTTAAAAAACAATGTGGTTTAAGAGTACTCTGATCAGTCCTTTATGAAGAAATGGAAAATGAAAATGTATTACTTTCCCAGCAGAGTTCACGTAAGTAGTTATTCTACTAGCTCATCCTAGTTTACACTGAAGCATCTTTTTGTTTCAAACCTTTGTCAAAGAGCTGTACTGATATTTCTGTGAACAGATACAGAACTGTGAGCATGAGAATTTTTTCCATTCCTGGAATAAAAACCTATCTGAATGCTGGGTAGACAGATTTCTTTCTCCTGAGGACTGGATATTGCTACTCAGAGGTAAAGTCAAGTACATTCTTGCTGGAAGCTCCCTGACTCATCCAATCTGATAGTACCACTTGGTTGGTTTTGTTGTGGGTTTGTTTTTTTTTTTTCTTTTTCCCTTGAATGAGTTGTTTCCTGTCCATAAGAGGAGAAAATTTAACCCTGGAACTGCTTTTGCAGCAGCACCTTTGGCTTTTCAGATGCGAGTCTCTGATATTTGCAGTGGATGTGAGGGTAGATTTTGCTTACATGCCTAGATGAGGGTACAGGAAGATGAAGGAAGGTGTGAAACTCCCAAAGCATAGAGAATACTTCTACTAACTGGCAGAGGCCAGACAAGTCTCTCGTGTGGCATTTCACTGACAAAAACTGACAATAAAAATGAGTATTTAATATTTTTACGGACCTAAAGACTATTTTCAATTGGAGCCATAGTTTTCAGTCTTATATTCTTCTAAGCAGCCAGCCTGGACTTACAGAAAAAACTGTCTTGGGAGGGGTGTCTGGAGCTCATCTAGTCCAGAGCAGGACTAACGGCAGTTTTATCCCACACTTAACCACTTTCAGTGTGAGTTTTTGCCCCATATATCTAAGTGGGATTCCCCCACTGCAACTTATGACAGCTGCTTTTTGTGTTTTGATTGGGGCTGTAGGAGAAAAATCTTTTCTCCAAATGTTTATATAGTTGGCAACTGCAATTAGATCCCCTCCCCAGCCATTGCCTCTCCCAGCTGAGGGGACCCAGGTCCCTCAGCCTTTTCTGGTGTGTTACAGGCAGCAGGGCAGCCCTTCACCAGCTCAGTGGGGACTGCAAAAATGAATCACTACACACACACAAAAGAGAAAAAAAAAAAAAAAAAAGGAAAACCCCATGGTCACGAAGGAGGGACTTTTTGGATTTCTTTTCCCCTGCCCTTCAGGGAAGAGACATTGCATCACACAGGCTCTGACAGCTTTGAAGAAGCAAGGCTGACTCTCACTGCACTGTGTGTACCTTGTTTCCTGCCCACAGGTATGAACTGTTCAGCTCTTACTGTTAAAGGGCTTAGACCAACACCTGTAGCTGTACCTCAATAGTGAGGCATTTGAACATACTAAAGATTAAGACCTGCTGAAGGCTCACAGTGTAGCAAGTAATTATTTGAACATACAATATTTATTTAATGATGTGCAAGACACAATTGCACCAGAAAGTTAGTAAACAACACTAACATTCATCAGGAACTGTAGGTAACAGCAAAACCCAAAATAGCTCAAAGCCTTTTATTTAAATGACAAATTTCCTTAAAATTGTCATTTTTTTCCCATTTGCAAAGCTGTATGATTTTTGTTTTTCTGCCACTAAGGACTGCTGTAGCTCGTTTAAGCCCACTGAGAAAAGACCCACTTTTCTTTAGGTTCTTGGTCCACCTACTAAAGTAAAGAAAGGAAGGCTCAAAGCCTGGTAGTGCCAATGCTTGCTCTCTCAGATACATTGCCACTAGGAGCAGCTGAGGTAATACCTGAAATATTACCAATGTGAGTAGGGTATGACCCATGCATTCATTTTTTTGTAGGTGGTCGTTGGAAGTCTCTGTGCCTGATCACCGAAGCCCTGCCCAGACTACAGACTGCACTGGGCTGACTCACCACACAGTGTGAGAAGGACAAGAGTTTGGCAGGTGTGCACTGGAGGAAAAGACAAAAAGAACTGGGATTGCCTGCCTCCATGTCTGTAAGCAAGGCTTGGGATGCAGGAGTGAATGCTTCTGGTAGATACTTTGGGCAGTAAAAAAAGAAAAAAATTAAAAAAACAAACCAAAACTGCCTATCACTTATCTCTTCTGCAAGTGGAAGCTTGTAAGCATCACACTTCCCAGCCTGTGGCTCAGTTCTGTGGTTGTCTCAGTATCTCTGCATCATCCAAGGAGTGCAAACTCTAGAACAGGACTCTATTCTAACAACAACCTTCACCACCACCATCTCCAAATTACTATTTGAATTTGTAAACATACTGTAATTTTATGAGCCTTTTTTTTTTTTTTTTTTAATACACTGAGATCTGGTGTGCATACAGTCTCCTGGCATTCAGGAATCAGCATGCTGAGCTTTTCAGAACAGAATCCTCCACTCTCAGCATAACTGGTTTTCACACTTCTCAGAGGTGCTAGTTTCAAGTTTGTGGCAACGTGACCATTTAACCGGAAAATTTAGATCACCTTGTGATACTTACTTGCCACAAAGTTTTGTTCCATATTCTTTTTCTTACAGGAAGTGAGATTTGTTGTATCTCAAATAAAATTGCTAGTTTTGGTGCCTACCCTGGAAGCAGTTGTTAAAGTAGTTCTTAGTAATTAATCACCCAAATTCACAGTGTTTTGTTCCAATTTCTATTCAGATTTGTCAGGATGAGTGAACAGGTACTATACTACTGCCAGATGTAAGGCCAGACTGATTCCTGGACAAGCCTACATTGAAAAAAAGAGACTGGGGAATGGCAAAGGTGCTCTCAGCCTCCTTGCTTCCACCACCCTCTAGCCATTCATGCAAGTTTTTGCAACCCTTTCTTACCTGTTATAATTTCTCACATTTAATCACATTTGCAGCAGGTTGCAATCATGGCTGTTGTCACAGGCCTAAACTCTACCAAAACTGGTAGCAGAAAGCACACACCACTACGTACGGTTCCTGTTTTCTGGGATGGGACTGCACATCCCCCCCCC